TTTTACAAAGATTTTATTTAGGTTATCATTATTTTCTTCTTGATCTATATACTTTCAGAAAAAAAAAAAAAAAAAATCAAACAGCTTTTATTATGGACTCCGAATCCTAAGGCCATTTAGAACCGCCGATCATGAATACTTGGTTTCACGGCACTATGTTGTATACGTTGAACAATTTGTTGATTTTTCCTTTCATTGCAACTATATCTTTGACTGAATTTTTCTCATTGAGTTAATTTGACGTTTAATTACAGGAAAGTCGCAAGTGTTTGGCCTCAATTTGTTATCTCAACGTTTGATCGGTGGAATAACGAGGCACCCCGTAATTAAATCATATATGTTATAAGCTTTTACCTAAAGAAGATACTTGTTTCAAACGATATCGGCACGGTACAGTTTTTCGAAAACGTCGGACGATTTGTTTTCATTTTGTCTTGTCTCGCGACTCGTCCGATCAATCAGATCTTTGGAGAACTCGTTCTTGGAGACAAAGAAGAAAAAAAAACCGCAAACGCAGCTAATAAGAGCGCCATCGCGAGTTTGCACGACATAAAACGACGAAATGCAAGTGGTAAGTGAAATCAAGTGAAACTGCACATTATACCCGAGATTTTATGTGTATTTGCGCACCGGCCCTTTTTTTTCGCGGCTCGTTTTTCCCTCTCCGGCTACATGGCGACAGCATTACTCTTTACGCGCGTGTGTATATGATTATCAAGAGGCACTGATGAGCACGTAGGACACGCCCCGCGTCATGTGTATATACGATACATATGCACCGGAGTCTCGTGAATGGAAAGCAAAATCACGAGGAAAGTCAACCAAGTGAAATTGACCGGTGCGGTGTGTACTTGTGCGAGAGAGAAATTGGCTCTTTGCGTCTAGATGCATAAGTACACCGCTCGCTGGATAGGTATGTATTACCTTATTAAACGAGGACTCTCTTGAGCGTGCACTGGGTGTACCTGATGGCTCTATGATTTATGGATGTGCGATAAGATCGTGATCGATGGGGCCTTTGTGCCGCGAATCGTTTGGAAAGTTTGGGGGTTCGTTCAACAGGAAATGGATTTTTGTTGATGTTCAACCACAAAACAAACGTTGGGGAAGGTTTCGTGCAACTTTTTCTGCGGCACATTTTTTATATTCATGCTAAACTTTTCTTTTCTTTTCTTATAATACGTGTGATTTTGAAAAAGTTTTTTCCAATAACTCGTAAGAGTTTTTACCGTGTACATTCGACTTTCAGGAAAAAGAAGAATAAATTATACGCTATAGCTACTGACTAAATTAATAAATATTACCTTAAAACATTTAACAGAAATTAATTTTAAAAGCATAATTAATACATCACGGTAAATTAATTTTTCTTTGGTAAGTGTAATTAGAATATCATTAAAGTCAGAAAAATTTTAATAAAAATAATTATAAAACACGTACCTACATCCCTTCTGTGTAATGTTTCTTATTAATTATTCAAACCTTTTTTAGCCCTAACAAGATAATATGTAAGTTTCGCACACTACCGTGTTAGGTTATTATTTTTTAATGCAAATGCATTGTCATTTTCGAAATGAACTTGGAAAAAGGTAAAAGTTGTGCAAAAGAATTGATATGCGCTGATACAAAATTTTCAATATTTTCTTAACATGCCATTTAAAATTTGTGAAAAAAAAAAGACATTAACTTCAACTCGAACGCCATTCCGCTCAAGCACGGTGGTAAAATTTATTTCTTCTACTCGGAACCCACATCGTATTAGACTCGCATGACAATTACACGTTTAATGATGGATTTTCCCTATTTTTTCTCACCAGAACAATGATATTACTTACGTGAGAAAGCGCATAAGAAATCACAGCTAAATAATAGCACACTTTGAACCATTTCCTAAAATTACGTAAAGAAAAAAGAAGAGTCTTCACTGTAATCATCGTTATCATACATGTAATGTATAATAAAATAAAAGAAAATACACGTACACAAAGCTACCTCCGTCGTCTTTGACGCCCATATCAGTTCTTCCATCGCCAGTATCAACGCGATTGCGCAACGAGCGCTTGATAAGTGCGACGACGAATGAAAGATAAAAGAAAGAAATTCTCTCTTCACCCCTGTCACGGTGAAAATAGAAAAAAAAAAAAAAAAAAAATCAGCACCCATCTCCGCAATCGAGTGTACCTAAGTACCGCGGGAACGTCTCGAACCGCGGAGGCGAAGGGGAAAAAAGACACTCGAGGGAGCCGATGCGCTCGAAAGTTCGCAAAGGAGAGATTTCGTCTTTCGGCTATGGAGAAGAAGTTTTGAGCGACCGGCTCCTCGCGGTCACCGCGGCAAAGGAAGCAGAGCTTGGAGTTAGAAAGTGCACGCGAATGAAATCGATCGACACGGTGATCCGCTCACTTATCTGTATACATATTAGTGTCTGTTGGGAGGACGATACGCTTTGTTCTTTTTTTTTTTTTTTTTTTTTTTTCTTTCCCCCTCGTTGTCATTATTTGTTCTTTCCTGTTACTTTGCATGGGCACCGAGCCATTTACCGTTCGCGCTCAACTTGACAAGCCGGAGTCGTAAAAAAAATAATAAGGACATTGTTTGCCTTTTAAATCGACACCGCGGGACGATTACTTGCGCTGTTGGCTCGCTTTGATGCTTAGGAGGAATATATTCGATACATCGCGGAATGTGTTTTGATAATGGCTTTGTTGCATTAGATGGCTGATTTTATTCACACGTGCGAGTGAATTGGAATTGAAAATTTGATTACTGACGAGCTTAGCATGAATAATTGCCACATGCAGGTCACTTTGACATTTGTTTTAACAGGAAAACTTGTATGTATTTTTTCAAGCTAAAGCACGTGCACCAGCACTATGTGACATTTCTTGACATTGTTTTTTTTTCTCTCGAATATTCGTAAGCTTACCTAGTCTACATCATTATCAAAAGGAACATGTTCAACAGTACAATTTGAGATTCGTAATATAAAGTTATCAGTCATAAACAAACATGGCCAATATCTCGAGTTTAGAGATATCATCACGTGACTCGTCGACTTTTGAGGAAAAGATTTTTGTCATGTTTACAACTATAATATGTACACATCCATATATTTCGTATGGTGAGTTGGATTTCGTGATTATGGGTTTTTGACCGAGCGATTATCTATTTGGGTAATCTTGGAGGTTTTGAAACAGCGTTCGAGTAGAATTTTTAGCTGATGTTTTGGAAACTCCTTTTTTTTGACGCTCAGCTGATCATAAAATGTTAAAGTCTCGATACTGTTATGCCCCAAGGTACACGAAAATCGAGTTTTTTTTAATGATTTTTCGTCGTATTTTTGATTCTGATGCTGACATCAAGATGAAAATTGTTTTTTAAATTATTCTAATATTATTGGATCGCTACCATTGAAAGAAACATCAAGTGGTTTCGTGCCTAACATAAGAAATCTTGAACGAAAATGTTACAAGCTGTTATTTGATAAAACATAAAAAAATGTAAGGTAGATCAAACACTATTGTGAAAGAGTGGAGATTTTAAATTTTTTATAAAAAAAAAAAAAAAAAAAAAAATTTCAACATGAAATCCATTTTTAAGTGATTAATCGAATAATATGACTATATTAATACTCATTGAATTTTATAACACAACAATTGAAAAGGTTCATTCGAATTCTCGTATCTACGGAAAGCACAATGGCGTAGGAAACGGAACGAAAGCTGTACGCAAAGACACGGAAGAATGAGAATACCCTCATTAACGTGGATCTTTTTAACGACACGTATAATTTCCGGATTCACGTTAGAGTTGCTTTATTAACACACAGAAATGAGAATTTAGTTCAATATTTATTAATTCAATGCACACAGAGTGGGAATCATCACACCAATTATATAAATAAATAATTAAGTCTAGCTTCAGAATGTCTCTCATGCTTTCACTGTTGAGAAATGTATAAAGAAAATTATTAGAGCTTATAATATGATGATTGTCAAAAAAGAAATTAATGTGCTATAAAAATATTTTATAGCAATTCCATCACAAACTTTTTATATAATTTTACAGGGATGATTTATGAGTTATATTAATACACACTTACATTACATATATATTTAGTCCATTTAATGGATGAAGATGAGGGCGACTTGCAATTTACTTGTTGGCTCAATTATTACAGTTCAGCTAATAGTCAACAATGTCACTCAGCTAATGACAATGTCAATGTCAGTCAGCTAATTGACAACAATGAATGACGATATCAGATGGATAATTAGTTGTAATTATCTACATGACAGTTAAATATATTTGTGTAAATTTTAGGGCATAAATTAAAAAGCAAAAAATATTATAAATACATATCGTGCAGTAATTATTCTAGTTGTACATGCATGTGTTCGAGCTAAAAATTACTGTACCAGTTAACCATTTAATATTTGTTCATCAAGTATATACAAAACTGTACACATCATTACAAATTTTTCTATATCAAATTATAAAAAAAACGTTGAAACTTCCAACAAATAATGACAAAAAAAATGTTCTAATATTGTTGTATTGAAAAAAATTTTACGAGCCCACTATTAATTAATTAATCAACTTCCTGTGAAGGACACAAACTTAGCGTGAGCTCGCAGGATCGATATCCTCTTTTCCACTCACATCCGTCCCACAAGGTCCGCCTCGGCTCGAACAAAGAAAAACCCTTTGCCCAAGACATCCATTATACACACAGTACCACTCCGCGTATACAAACACACACGGGCTCCACTGCCACATTAAACTGTATCACCTCGTGGCACGGGTCAGCGACCCGAGACACCAAGTCACTAATCACTACCCGTCAAAGGCTCAAAAAAAAAACCTGCGTTAACTATTACGATTCTAATCGTACCACTATACCATCACTAAAAACCGGCAAAAGACAACCACATTGCCGGACTTACATGGGCCGTTAACGTTAATTCCAATATACGCGTAAGCGCACCCAACGTACTCACCTTGTGACATTGCAGCTGCCGCAGGGGCAGGGACGAGAAGCGTTGTACCATGGCGCTGGCCGGGCCTTACAGTCTTGCAGCGGCTGGCATCCGCGGCGCTGTAGAGCCGAGTCGAAAGGACCCGGACCTCGAAACCGGTTGTCGAGCACTGCCGCCGCCGTAGCCGCTCTCCTTCTCGCCATAGCGGGCGGGTACTGCTCACCACCGATATCAACGTATACACACGTGTATATAGGCACGGGTTGTACGGTAAGCATATGTATAAGCAGCCACAGGCAAAGAGAGAGAGAAAGGAATATAAAGAGAGGTACCCGCGAGAGGGGCGTAGGAGTAGGTCATTAGAGCAAGCTCTTTGCCAAATGTGTTTGTATACGAATCTCGTGCGTGCTGTACGTGTAAGGTATACGTACAGAGAAGCAAAAGCGGAAGAGTGAACGACCGATTTTTTTTTTTTTACATACACGTGGCTTAGCGAAGAAAAGATAACGGTGAAGAGAAGGGAAGAAAAAGCATGTAGTGTGGATCCTTTGGACGAGGGCGAAATTTCGTGGTGTGCGCTTTCTGTTGAATAAAAACTTTTTCTCGTTCGAGGGAAAAGTAGCTCAGATTGTTCCAGATTTTTGAAACTTGTGCTTTCAATCAGCGACTAAAGTGGAAGCTTCGCTGAAATTGTGAAAGTGTATTTTTCTTGGGTCGTAAAAATTTATTCACGATCTGTTGGAAAATTGAAGAAATTTTAATTTTGTACCTACACAAATGTCTCGGGGATATTTGTGAACAAATTTCCAGACCTTGATATTGGGTAAAGAAACTTTTAGGAGCCATCCGAAAGTACATCGTATGAAATAGTATCTCAAAAATAATGAGCAGGTGAAAGGCAACACGAAATAGGAGATTATACAGCCACAGACAGTATAGTTTGAGGACAGACTTATTTTTTGAGATAAAATAGGATTTTGGATTAATAATGAGATAATAATATACTTTTAAGTATCTCGCAAATAGTAAGAGTATACTAATCAAAATTCATGGATCGACAAAAGACAAAGTATTGAAAAAAATTTGTCATTATGGAATAAAAACTTTTTGACAGCAGAAGCTTTTAGTCAATGTTGAAATAATTATGAGATTTTAAAGAGAAAATTGAAAGATACTACAGTTACAGAGATCATATTCACTGTACTTATTTAAGAGTATTTTACCGAAGAGCATTTAAGTTTCAAAGATAAAAATACTTGTTCTATTACATCATAAAATAACTGAGATGTAACCATAGAAGAGCTAGGATTAAGAGGAATCTGATTGAAGAAAGATTAAGTTCCAAATGGAACACAATTTAGAAGTCTTTAGTTAACAACTTAAAAAAACAATGATTTGAGTTCGAGTACGATTTGTCAGAAAATCAGAGTACCGAAAAACTCTACAAATATAAGTACACGTAACCTATTACAAGTATCATTCAGAATAAAATGTTGCTGTTTTTACGAAACTGTGAAGATATCTAAATTGTGTTAAATTCGAAATTTCCACATTTCTACCGACTCAGAATTAAAAATTTGCTTTACTAAACGTAAAATTCCTCCACAAAGAGATTTATAATTTATCAGAAAATGTTTAATAACTACTAACTTACCAGTCACTGCACTACTCTTTAAACATACAAAATATAAATGAAGCAGTTGGGGTTAGAACGCTGAATACGCAAATGAAGTTATGACAAGTTTAATAAAAATTTTTCAACATTTTATTTAACATAATTGTAACAAAAACTTTAAAATACTAATGAAAACCACTTTTGTAATGACACATGGTTTTAATACTACTCCATAAAACATTCTTATATTATTTTTTTTACGATTAGTACAGTTATAATTTTTCAATGTATAAGTCTAAATTTAGTTTTTTCGAACCAAACAATTTTTGCGAACGTTAATGTTGACTCACAAATTATAAGTTTCTCAATCTTACAGTGTCTTGGTTCAATGTTTTGTATACATACAAATTATGTATATAAACGCTAAGTAATAACTAAATATGTTAACAATGAATGATATATTAAAATTCTCATAAGTAAAATACGTTATGGAAACTAATAAAAATTATAACTTAAATGATGTACTGAACATAGGAGAGCGTATGCATAATTATTATAATTTGAAGAACTGCAAGTTATGGACTTTTTAAGCAATTTTTTAATGATCATCAAAATTTAAAATCTAAACAGTTCTTTAATGTATACTGTGAGGTATTTTAGAAAATAAAAAAACAAAACTTATCAAACCAGTTACAAAAGTGAAAAGTTACTTTCGATTTACTTTACCCAGTATTAATTAATTTATAATAAGAGTGAAGAGATTTTTGACAGGTATGGTGAATATTGTACGAGTTTTTTTTTTTTTTCTAGTTCTAAGAAAGACAGTCTTTTTTTTGTTGGCTTATAATATGATGAAAAATTTTTTAAATTACACTAAAAACTCTTTTAGACAAAACTTTTGATTCTTGGTGAGCCAAAATACAGAGGAAATAATAAGTCTAGTCAACCGAAATAAAATTTTTTTTCATAGGTTAATCCAGTGAATAATTGTCACGATGGTGTTTAAAAGTCTAATTAGCCAATTTTTGGCCAACTCAAAGGTTTATTTATAGTGAGCGGTCGGTTCAGGTACTAGATAAATTAATAACTGGTTAAAAACCTACCTGGTTTAATGCGCTATAGTGTGCGCTAACAGAGTTAACGACGTCATGAGTACTCGGTAGGTATGCATTCCCGATCAGAAACCTTAGTGGGGTGCTGATGGGGTCCACTCTAGGCTGCCAAATTAACCACATGTGGTCCTAGAATGCCATCGTCACGGGGCGTAGATATGGTCCTCTCTAGTGTGCCCCAATAGGAAAGGAAGTTTACCTAACCCTTTGTATTTTTTGTGTAGGTACATCATTAAATTTGATACAATTATCATAAGAGCATGTGCCTGATTTACCATGCATGCTATGCAGATTATGGAGTTTATCGGCCGTACAGATAAGGAAGAATTAAATTACGGTCACATATATTTAACCCAAACGCAGAAATATATATTGTTTTCAACAGTTTTAGCTAGGTTATTGGGGCAGCCTACGATGGACCCTCAGTTCGCCCCGTGACGCGCCTAATGGGGTACCAACTAGGCAGCCTAAGGGGGACCCCATTAACTAAGGTGGCAAACCCATTAAATTTCTGATCGGGTTATTCTATATATATATATATATATATATTTCACTATACCTCACCTATGTTACCTTATATTTTTGTTATTAGACTTTGTACGCCTCTCATCCAAGTGTTGTCTAATTTCAATATTGTAAAAATAATCATGGTTTCAAATATTTTTAGAATTATTACTAGATATAGATTATGATAAAATGGGAGAACTAATTTCAATATTTTACCTGAAATTAAGGAATAAATGATACTTTGTTTAAAGATTGATAAAAAGCTTGGAGCAAAACGTCTATTCGATTACGATTGTTATCTAAACAATCTGGTTTTATTTATGAGCACGAAATTTTGCGTCTACGACCGAAATGAAATCGTCAACTTGAAGAAATTTGATTTAAATTAAAAATTGCAAACACTTCAAAAGTTAAGATTCAGCCAGTCACCGTATTTGAAATAAAATGACAGGAGGTTATAATTACCTCTGAAGATTAAAGAGAAGACTAACAATTGTCGATTATTTTTCATAAAACGTATTAATAGATGTGTTGAAATAGAATTTAGAAAATAATGTAAACGTTCAAATGAAGAAAGGTCTAGCCAATCAATGAGTTTCAAATTCGAAATTTATTTTCGAAAATTAGTGTTATTACTAATTTATTAAGAAATTTGAATATTACAAATATTATTCGGAAAATTAATTAAATTTGACTTGTAAACGCTAATATAAGTTAAGATCCAGCCAGTCACAACGTACTAAATTAAAATGATTGTTAATTTCAATACTTTAAAAACATTAAAATGAAATTTTGTAAACGAACAGGTAAGTTAAGATCCAGCCAGTCATAGCGTATTAAATTAAAACAATTCAATTTTAAAACTTTAAGAATGATGAAATAATATTGCAAACTCTTAGGTAAGTTAAGATCCAGCCAGTCATGGCGTCTTAAATAAAAATAATTTGTAATTTTAAAACTTTAAAAATGATAAATTCAGATTTTGTAAACACTTAGGTAAGTTAAGATCCAGCCAGTCATAGAATTTTGAAATGACGTATTTTGTAACCTTTCCACGTAAGTATGGACAAATTTAATAAATATATGCTCATTTCTAAAAAAATGGATATATCTTTTACAGCCAACCCTGATTGGGTTTACTCACTTTTAACATCATATACCGCAGAGAAACGGGTATTGATTGAACACTTGATGAGCTTCAATGAAGTTCAATCCTTTTTACATCCTTGGTAAAATTAGCCTAAACAATCATTTGTCTGTGTACGGGTCTGTCATAACAATACAAATGTTTATATCAACAACTTTAGAAGCAAAACGGGCATAGCCGTAAAGAAAACCACATCTATGAACAAGCTTTGAAGTATGAAAATAGATTTTTTAATTTATTACAAAAAATACAACGGCAAGAAAATTAATGGTAGATAATGATATTATAATATCAAGGGTCTTGGTATTCAAGATGGTGATAAGGATTTTGATTAGTTTTCTTAGATGCCAGGATACAAAAAAAAACGTAAAAAGAATCAGATATTATAGATACAGGTGACATCGTATTTTCAACAAGATGGGAGGCAGAAGATAAGAGCAAAATAAAAAAATGATGTATAAATTAAGAACACTGATTGGATAACGAGAGGATAGATCATTTTAAGAGCTGCATGTCTTGATAATCTTTCATCTTATCAATAATGCCGGACACGCGTCAAAATAAAGCTTACCGCCTGCCACGCTTGCAGTCATATCTTAAAACTTGGACTACAAAGAAGTGAGATTGAGTGAAGAAGAGACCGAGTTGCGCGAACGAGCAAGCCTTTTAAAAAGACAAAGCAGTAGCACGACCGAAAGAGAAGTACCGGAAATAAAAAGAGAGCTGCTAGCAAAAGACCAAAGAGCTGACCAACTTTCACAACTCGAAATCAAAAAACAAGCTCACCAGGAAAGCAAAAAAAAATTTCATGCTTTTTCCAGGCTGTAGCGAGCCGGGTACGAACAAAATACACCCAGAAATTGAACACAACATTGGAATTGGACTATACAACAGAATTAGTATAAATAGAAAAAGTATAAATTTCGGAGTGTACACGATCGGATGTTTATTGTATCATAATTGTACCTACAGACATTTTTATAGGTTCATAAGCTATTGAGCATTTTTTATTTACTGGCTGATCTGCTAAAAACGCAAATATTTTCGGGTTTACACCCTTGTACTTTTGAAAGACGTGCAAGCAAGAAATTATTTCTTTAAAGAGGAAACGTACTTTTTGGAAATGCATTTACGTTATTATGATTACTTGTAACAGCCATAGCCTTAGTTTAATTTATTTTTATTCTTATTTTTAAGTCATCCTGAAATTTAAATGTAATACAAAAATACTCACAAAAAATTATCTACTAACGCAGGAAAAATTATTCGACACAGAAAATAACTAGGCTCAATTTTTTTTTTTTTAACGTTAGTCAAGATTAACCCAGTGCTAAAGAGGTAAAACTAAAAGTATCATGTTTTAATCAGCTTACATCAAAAGTACATTTTGTACACCAATATTTTTATCCACAAGCCTCTATATACGGCTCAAAACTGATGTGAAGTGGAAAAATAATTATTTTACTAACTGCATATATATTTTCATGTCTCGTAATTGTTTAGATCTCAGATGTACATTAAAATTTATTGGCATAAGCTATAAAGTGCATTAGAAAACTTGTAAAGATCTATTTAATATCAGAATAACTTAGAAATGATCATGCAAATTTCAATTGCCCAGTGTTCAAGACTCCGTTTTATTGGGAGCTGTTTTATAAAGCGATATATATGCACAAGCATGTTAACCACGTTGCTTTTGTCAAGTGCAACTTGGTCATTTGAATTTTTAACAAACAACACCATTTTGCATTCTCTACTGTCAAATTCAATACTTAAAATTGTAGATTAGCTCTGTCATCCTAATTAATATTTTTAATTTATCTTTTGAAGCCCAAATGATTTTAAAAGTTAAAAAATATAGTAAATATGGCAAAATACAACCAATTGGTTGTTTTTCTGAATTAAAGCATGATTGTATGAATTGTTTAGGGCTAAAAATTATGATGACTTATAAATCAAATGAAAAAAATAATTAGAACATTAACAGTAAAATTATCACAGAACATTGAGTGAAAAAGGATCCACTGAAGGCTCTTTGTAATCGAAATAAAGCTAGAAGCAGTAAACATTGAAAACTATTTTTACTTAAGTTGAGGCGTCCTATTGCGACCGACAATCCTGTTGCGCAGAACATTGAAATGCCCATGAACCTGCATTAGCTGAGCTCTGAGAGAGTCAGTGAGCTGTTTCTGCAATTGCTGAACTTCTTGTATGTCTTGTCGCAGCACCTGGTACTCCTCCTTGACTTGAGTCACTGATCGAAGTAATCGCAGCACAGATACACTCTGTAAAACAAACATTAGTTGATAATTACTATCGGAACATTTCTTACTTAAATTGATATTCCGGTTACACAAGTACGCAACTAACCTCTGTATCGTTGTTTTGAAATTCCTTCTCAAAAGCATCTATTTGCCATGCTATCATGTCAAGTTTTCCATCTGCCTCCTGAACCTGCAAGAAGAATAAGATTTTTACTGTAAAACAACAATCACACATTCAAGTAAAGAGGAGTTACTGGCTCTCCATTACTCCTCAAAATTAACAACCAATATCGCAATAATACAGTATATTTTTGTAACTCCCGATCAAGTGGAGGGACGGTACTTACGCTTTGCTCTAGGTGTATGATCGCCGATTCCATTTTTGGCCCTAAAGAGTACGTCCAAGTAAAATTAGAAACGAACCCGTTGCTGTATACTCTACCGCAAGGAGTGACCTCCTTCTTTGGTTTTTCGTAAATAAAACAACGTCAAACAAACGGAATACGACGTCTTCGTTGACAGCAACAGACGTTATGTCGTTGAATTGAAGCTGATAAGTAACACAAACACAACTTCCAAAGGCGATTGTTTAGTTATAGCCTCTGGCCAGGGCGTCGCTACTCAAGATGGCGTTAACCACTTATTCGCGCCAACACGTGTACTCGTCAGCATCAGCAGTTCTGTACTCGAAGATGAAATTTGAGATGTGAGCTCAACGGAGTCGGTTGGGTAAATGGCGGAATTTTGAGCTAGCCAAATTCAGCCAAACATATAGCTACGACCTTCCCTTTCTTTTTCTACCCCTCTTTCTACACTTTTTTGTCCAATTTGTCCTTGCCGCGGGCCAAAATTGCAGCACCGCAACGGCGCAACCACGCGACAACATATTTATAACATATACGTGTTGCGGATTGCTAAATACATAAAAGAATAAACGTGAATTGTTGTTTTGTTTACGTTTTGCACTCTTTATGTTAAGAAATGTTTTCAAAAGCACTTTTTATCCACCTTAGAATTAGAAAGTTAAGTTTTAAAGAGCGACATCCTAATTCATCTCGGACAAGACAGAAACCTTAGGGCAGTTTCACATGAGTCTTGAAGTCGCCACGATTGTGTTGACACATGAAGAGTCGGCTTTAGTTTACTTGTGTATTTTCTATTTTGACAGATTAAAATATTTCTAATTTTTAAGTTAACCTAAGTATACATACACTGTAAACGTGTAAACTTATATTTATTGTGCGAATTTCTGGTAAAAAATTGTTTTACCTGAACAATGAAATGTTTGAGAAGTTTGCGCGGATACGTATTGAAATGAAATTACAAGACGCCCAAGCGCGTAAGTTTCACAAACTACTGATTTTGTAAATGTTTATTAAGGTATTTACAGTTGATCATTTTTATTTTTCAGGATTTCAATGTCTCCAAAGATGATAGTAGACTGACAGATACAAAAATTCTTGCAAGAATGTCAGCTGTTATTGATGACAAAATTGTGGCTGGAGCACAAGATCCAAACATTGTCAAAGAGGATCCCATCGTTGAGCTAACTGTAAGTGATCCTTTCGATTATCTCTTGATTTTCAGTTTTTTTCTTAAACGGTTAAAGTATTGTAAATTATCATAATTCGATCTGATTATCTTTCTCATGACTGTTTATTGACAAAAACTCCACTGGTATGTTTTGCAGGATAAAGTGAAATCGCTGTATTTGTTTCGAGATCATTATTTTGAAAACCACTCCATTGAAGATGCTATAAGAAAAAGCAAGGATGTTGAAGCAGAAATGAAGAATACCCTTGCTAAGTTTGATGAGTGTAAAGGATACGAGATCGATGGTGCTCGAGCAAAGTATTATTATTTGAAAGGCAAAACCTTGAATGTAGTAGACAAGTTTACACCCCAAGCGGAGGAACTTTTAAGCAAAGCTGTTAAGTTAGAGCCAAAACTAATAGAAGCCTGGAATGAACTTGGGGAGTGTTACTGGAAAAATGATGATATTCAACAAGCAAAGAACTGTTTCACTGGTGCCTTGCCACATGTAAGAATATTCTTTGAAATTAGTTTTTTTAGTTTAAAGAACAGTATATAACACATATTTTTGCAGGGAAAAAACAAGGTATCTTTGAGAAACTTATCAATGGTACTAAGGCAAGAAGCTACTTTGACTAAAGAAGAGACGATTAAAAATGTCCAGCAAGGTGTAGAGTATGCCAAAGAAGCCATAAGTTTGGACCCATCCGATGGTACTTCTTGGGCTATTTTGGGAAATGCTTACTTGTCTTGTTATTTCACGATAGCACAAAATCCTTCTACATTACGTCTTTGCATGTCTGCTTATGGACAAGCGGTATGGTGATTAATTTATTAATTTTTACTTAAACTTTTCAGTGATAATGTTTTTTATTTCAATCTGTTTTTTTTTTTTTATCACAGGAAAAGGACTTGATTGCTAAAAGTAATCCAGATTTGCATTACAATAAAGCAATGGTAAATCATACGGAAAAATAAAATATATCCTTACGATTTTTTATAATTCACATCGTCTTCATTTGTAGGCTCTGAAATATCAAGAAGAATACAAATTGGCTTTAGAATCATTCCAAAAGGCAAAATTGCTAGATCCGACTTGGCCGACCCCAAGCGAAAAACAAAAGGAATTATTGCAGTATCTTAATAATGTGCAAAAGTCTGTAAATACAAAAGGCAGTATTAAAACAAAAAAGATGATTCAAATGACCCAAGTAAGTTTTTTTTCAGAAATATAACCTTAGATAGTTATTGGTCATTGAGTATTTATAATTTTTTTCAGTCTCTCAATGAAAAACATTTGGGGCCTTACATGGGAGGATGTTATACTTCAGGAGATAAGTCAGTTAAATTAGATTTAATTAATGTAAAAGACTTAACACGAGGTATTAATTTAGAAAAAGTTGTCTTTGGCAAAGTTGTTTGTTGGATTCAAGATTCAGATTCAGTACCATTGTAAGTAGCTCATTGTGGAGACTTTTTTTTTTATTTTCCATTGTTACGTTGTCATATTTTTGTTTGTAGCGTTTTTTGCATGATTGATAAAGAAAAGACTTGTGTGGCTGTGACTTTATACAATTTAGCACAAGGAAAAGGTGTTACAGTTGGAGATTCTGTTGCTATACCTGAGCCTTTTTTAATTCATCATCAATTTACTTACCAAGATGATGTAAGATTCATACCTATTATTTTATTCAAAGAGTACTTGTAGTAGTTGTATAATTAATAATTATTGGTTTTATTTTTTTTCAGAAATTTGATTTTAAATCGATTAGAGTTGAAACGCCAGTCGTTTTGGTTGTGAACGGAAAGAAATTAGGACGAGAACAGCAAGCTAGCGTGAAAATGTCTACTTTTAAAAAAAGTGACTAATCGTGAAAATATTTAGAACAAGTTTTGTACTAAAGTACAATGATGTGATCAGTATGTGTTGAACTGGCTGAATAATGAAATTGATGCAACGGATGCATAACGAGGGTAATAGGATTAAATGAAAATTCATCGTTTATCTTGTAATAATTTTTTTTAATGTGTACATGAAATGAAAGTTCTTATAATGTGATTTAAAATTGACGATTTTTATACTAAACTTTGGTCTTGATAGTTACTGCATAAGCTTAGTACGAGTTCTGGACCATATATTTTTTCGATAGTCTACGAATTTACGTACTGTTTAAGTGTCAACTACATACGCTCAGCTAACACTTTTTTTTTTATTCCAACGAAATGCTTGATGCAGATCGAAAATTATCTAGATTAAGATACGTCGTCTACACCGCAATAATCAAATTTTTTATGTAAACGATTAAAAAATTTTTTTTCAGCGTTAAAATGTTACGTACACAGACGTTTTGAATAATCAGCTAATAATTTGTATAAATGTCTATTAACGATAAATAGATTTTTCTTATTGTTCTTTAAATAGTTTTATTTTTTTACCAAAATTTTATTCCGTTAAAGAAAAAAAAAAAAACAGTTTTATTTTCTTCAAAATGTCAACAAATTCATTTTTAGACGCACATACAAATAACAAGATGTATTGGGTCTTGGACGAGTGTTTTCTTAACTTAATGACGAGCTTCTCGGTTATAAAATACAAAATTTCTAAAATCAATCATATAAATATATCAAAAATACCTATGGGTATAGGCGATAAAACATCTTACAAATTGATTAACACTTTACTCGTTGAAGTTTATTGAAACGTCAACGAGGAATTTTCTGTTTCTTTTTTTTTTGTTTTTCAATTTTATAATAAAAAAAAAAAAAAAAAAAATCAATCGACTTTTTTCTGGACAAAAAGACTTACAAAAATCAGCTATCGCTGTAGTAATGTATTACTAACATGAGAAGTAGACCAATTGTTCAAAACATTTCGTCTCTTTGTTTGGAAAAAAAAAAAAAAATAATAATGTATACTCATACGAATACACACGTAATAAAAAAAGACGTGACTGTCGTTTGCACTGTGCCAACTGAGCTGAAATACTCAACAGTAGCCTTATCTGTGTCTTTTGATATGAAAAATTACAAGTATCAGTAATGGTTATAAGAATAAAAAATAAAAATTAAAAAGTAAGTGTTTGGAAACTTTTTGAAAGTCCTAAAAAGCCAATGCTTTATTGTTACATCCCTAAATACTAAAAAAAAAATATATATATAATGATAAAAATTAACGTTTCAACCGAGTGTACCTAATATTCCGTTTTTCCAAATTTCACCTCCAAAGTAAAATACTGAGACGTTAAATAAATAAAAAAAAAAAAACACTCCTGCTAACAAATCAACTGGTGGCACCGTTTAAATCGATCACAAATAACAACAATAAGAACAAGAGCAACAGTCTGACTTGTCTCCATGTACAAATTGACCCTGTAATTTTCGTTGTTTCGTGCATCGCATTAATCATAACAAAATACACATAAAACACAACGCACATCTTGTCCATCGCGAGCAGTTTATCCTACTTTTACAACTACGTAGTATGAGATTAATGAAATCGCCGTTAGCAAATACTCGTATGTTTCTACCTTCCTCCCTCGTATCAAACGCCGATTTCCGCGGCCGGTTCATAAAAGACATATGGAAAAAAAAAAAAAAAAAAAAAAAAAAATATACAGAAAAGACAACCGGTCGCGGTCGTGTCGGAGACGCCTACACCTAAACGCGATCCTAATACGTAAAATTGTCCTTTGTGCTTCCTAAACCCTAACTCACGCAATAAATACTTAGTAATCAACAACGTAACAGCATCGCCTACAAAAAAGATGTACAGGCCCCCCCTTGCCTCGCTGCGCGCACAAACACACTATTATAACAATACGCGTACGACATGTCACATTGACAATTAACTTGCGTTACGAGCGCATGTGAGCATAATACATAAATATACGTGGTTTTAGTGCTTTCAGTCTCTGCGTTCGGTTATTCTGCGTAAAACGTAGGAAAAGAAAATAATAATAAAAAAAAAAAGAAAAAAGAAAAGAAAGATTTTTTTTCCGTTCACTCATACGCAGGCTCTCGGCGAGTTCGGAGGGGTCGCGCGCGCTCCTTTGGTCCTCGAACATAAATAATAAACAATCATCGTCAACAGTACAGCGATGGTAATAATAATAATAATAATAATAATCATATGAAATTAATTGTAATAGTAGTGCTAGTTGAAGGGAAAAGAAAATCAGCTTCGGGATTGATGCGGTTTTCGCACGCAACGCACAAAAAAAACGAAGCGAGTGGCATGGCGTGACAACGATGACACTACGCGAGCCCTCGGCGGCCGAAACTCGCGCGGTTGAGTCAAATGTTGACCTCCCAGAGTTTGAAGTAGTTGTCAATGACGTTGAGGAACCATTGTCGCCTCTTGGGGTCCTGGAAGAGCGGCGTGAGGGTGCGCAGCTGGAGCTGAAGTAGCGCCTCGTCGCCAAGGAGCGAGTCCAATTGGGCGAGGAGTTCGCCGTTGCCGTGGAGCTTGAGTAGGCTCGCGTAGGTGAATATGTACAAGTGGACGCGCAGCCGCTCGGCAGCCCAGTACTCGACCGTCCGGTTGCCCGACGCCGAGAGTATGGCCCCCATGTGCTCCGCGTTCCACGGCGAGAAAAAATTGTTCAGCTCGATGCTCGACAGCTCGGCCACGCCCCGGCTCTTCAGCTGCCGCTTTATCTGCAGGTACGTCTGCGGACTGTACACGAACACCTGGGGGACAGGAGAGCGTTTATTGTTTTCCTCTCATTATTATTATTATTATTATTATTATTATTATTATTATTCTTATTATTATTGTATAGAGGGACACACAAGAGAGGCACGTGCTCCTGCGATTTGCGCGCATGGGGGGAACAGCTTCTGGAAAACAGAGGGATGCGTGTATTCGTATAGCAGATATTGTAATGTATGTTGTTGAGTTGCGCAAAAGTCTCGTGACGAGGTGGAGGAGGAGGGGGAGACCACGCCGGCTTGTTGNGGGGGGGGAAAAAAAAAAAAAAAAAAAAAAAAAAAGTATACAAGTAATTCGTGCGTGCGACGAATGGTTACACTCGTGTGATTTTCACCTTTTTGCTTTGCTCAGGTATAGCTATATACCCTGCACACTTGTGCGACAATTACCTGCTTCGCACAATTGCTCCGTAACATGTACAATTGCAGGTATATATTTCGGATGAAAGTGACAATACTTTTTAATTTCAAGTGCCTTTTCTTACACGAGTGTGCTAATATCAGTGCATGCATGATCATCATATTATTTTAGGCAGTAAGGGTAAATTTATATAATCTTCTATAAAAATGATAACTAACTTTTTAATGATTAATATTGTGTTAAAAGTTGGATAAGTTCGATTACACTGATTTTTCTACACCAATAGAGATAAAATAATGTATCACCAACAGTTTGGGGAAAAAACCTCGATATGCCCATACAGTCCCACTGGAGTAGTGATTTTACTCACATCCGTCTTAGTCTCTTAGCTGTTGTTGTTGACGAATAATTTTGCGAGCTCGTTTGCCGTAAAAGTGAAAGCGAAATGAAAAGCCACGAAGATAACTCGAGATAACCCGGGATGGGCAAAAATATTTTTGGATCTCTCGTTTTAACCGTGGCTATTGCACTTGACTCGATCTTACGAGCTAATATTTTCACACAATGTAGTAGGTACTTAAAAGTTCTTTGTACAATTTTACCTACTCGCGTGTCAGTGTGTCCAACGTGCTTTTACTACAAAAATCCCGAGTTCTGCCGTGCATGTGTGACGATTCAATTCAAGTTACAAGGTTGGTTCGACATAATTACGCGGCCTCAAGCGTTTTTTTGACTAAATTCACCTTCTCTCGCCTCACACCAGTTCCATGAGTAGGCTCCAGTCGCAATTGACAAGAGAGAAATCGTTAATAATTTAATTTTAATTACATTTATCGGATACAACGTTATTAATTACACTCCTCTGTGAGCCAACACGAACAGGTACATGTGCGTCAATTCATTCGTAACATTATCAAGGAATTTCTTAACGCGTTTTTAGGAACGTTGCCATCGAATTTTCTGTATTGATGAAAATGCAGATGCGACGTTTCATATGGGTATGCTTGTGTCGAGGACTTGGAAGAGCTTATGGTCATCATATAACATACGTTACATACTACGTTTTCTGAAAGTGAACTCGTATGTACCATCTTTCATTTTTCTCTTTACACTTCGCTGCGAGTGTAAAAAAAAAAAAAATAATAAAATAAAAAAAATAAATCAACGCATTAAAAAAAAAAAAAATTTTCACTTTATTCCTAAACACCAAAATTCTCCGACTGAATTATAGCAGATCCCTGTGGTCTTTTCCCTCATATCGTAAATGCTCGGCCTGCAGACTTTAAATACCGTTCGAATATCGTAATGTCTATTGTGCTAGGAAAGAAAAAAAAGAAAAAAAACCATTTAAATAAAAAATTTCTCACTTTCACTTGAAATAACTTTAATATACGTAAGAGAAGAGCTTCTTACCCCACTGACACACTGCTGCTTATAACAAATACAACTGGTGGGGGTTTGCATTAATATTTTTTATAGTTGAGATAACGAAGAAAAAAAAAAGTTCGAATTCACCAACTGCAAAAGAAAATCAAAAGAGACACAAACGAAAATAATCGATGATTCAAATGGAAATCGCTAGGCGGCTAATCGATATTGGTTCCATTGGTATTGATACGACAATCAAAATAAAAACAATCCCGCAAGTGTCGAAAAATCGCTGCTTTGAGTATATAAGGAACATCTTTCTCACGTAAACACGTGTGGTCCGAGGCTTCTCAACGACAGCTCCGCTGTATAACACCAGGCATGCCCGACCCTCTCCCCACTGCTCGAGTAAGTGTACACCAATCCAAAATGTATACACGCAGAGAAAGACTGAATGAAGACAAAACTGTTGGATCACTATCGGCAAATGTGGAATCGTTGATCATCACCTGTTATCACCGAGGCAGATATACACGTTACCTTCCAAAGGAACATCTGCGCATATTGTACTGAAGGAGCTTGGTTGGCATGATGGGTGGCTTGAAAAAAAAATTCAATTAATAAAAGAGGAATAATAAAGTTATAAGTATATTCCTGGGCCAAGCTGGAGTATGTGTCTCAAAAGAAACGAAATGTGCTTCAAAGTGGAAGAAAAAAAGACAATAAAAGTCCACAAGCCGCTACGAAGTAAGACACAGGACCCCCCACCTGCCCCGTATGTGTTCACCACCTCATGTGTCATAAACAAAGATTGAAGACAAGCTCAGAAACTGAAAGAACAATGATGAAAAGAATGGAAAAAATAAAGGTTGAAAAAAAATGACGATCCGAAAAGGCGATTGGGGAGAGGAGAACGGCGAAGGCCACACGGAGTTCGGGACTAAATACCCCGGAGGTTGTAGCAGCAACTGTGACCACAAATTTTTGCGCTTTTTCCAATTTTTTTTTTTTTTTTTTTATCATCACAAAGTAATATCATCATCGCCACATTGCGTTTAACAGCTTTGGCGCTTGCAAGCACACTTCATAGACTATCTGCGCTAAAGATCCGCAGTTTGACGATTTTTTTGAGCTTTTGATATTGAGATTGGATAGTAATATACAAAAAGAAATTGGAGAGCTTCATATTGGTTGTGGTGCTAGAGTATGCAAATATCAGCTTTCGAAGCTTAAAACGTATGAAACTGTGTTGCTTGACAATCGTTGATCATATTTTGCAAAATAGATTTTTCTTATTGTTTCTCTCGTACACAAAGCATTGTTAAGCTACGTGCACATAAAAAACGTGCCTTTGTATCCTGCCAAACAAATTTTTTTTTTTTTTTTTCGACCCGCTGAATTTTCGTGGATTTTTTCAACCACGCAAACATGTATGGATGCCCACGTCACGACGATTTCTCAGCCTCTCGCTCCCTTTTATTCATCCCGCATGCAGTCCGTGGCACATTTCGGCGCCCGCGCGATCGCGAGCTCAAGCGAGTGGTCCGTATACCTGCAGGCAGTTATGCAACTTTCCCGTCGCCTACTTAAAAAGCGATGATGCAAAACCCGTCGCTCGTGCATACACTGTAACACGTGTATATATACACAAATACCCACAGCCTAGCTGTACCTATTCCAGTGGGCTCAACCCCCCCTTTCGTACGATATATACGCGATAGCGCTCTAACTAGGCTACTTTTTCATTCGCGCCAAAGAGACACGTGCAGGCTGCACCGGTGATGAAAACTTTTTTCTGATTCAGAACTCTGTGTGTGCCGTTGCCTGGATTCTAAAGATATAACAAACACATCGACAAACCCGAGTCCAATGCACACACGGCACTGATTCGTTGCGACCCGGAAATCGACTCCCGCGTATATCGTTTATTTGTCCCGATGCAATTTAATAAGCCTGATTTTTCCTTTCTTCAATATTTCGCCGGGTACAAAAATGCTGTTATTTATCAACATAATACGTATCCATGGCTCCGGAGTTTTCCGTACAATGAGACAATACGCGCATGCACATATACGTAGGTATATTATGTATACACTAGGCAGCAACGGGATATAAATATATACAATGGGGGAATGAAACGCAATTCAATTGTACATTTTCCTTTTAATAGAGCAGAAATGTCAAGGCTTCCTTTCAACGCTCGTATGAAGCTATTACTTTCAGGGTGCCCAAGTCTCTATATACCTTATACCCACGCACACGAGGAGAAAGAGAGCATTTTTATAAATCGGCTTCCATTCGTGAAATCCGCGGTGAGTACGCGGATTATATTTTTATCCCTGCAATAATATTGATTTATCCCGGGAATATTGAATTTTAGTCCGATAAATGATCGGGTCTTTTTCCCCCTTTCATTCACAGTTGCTTGCGTTAGGAATGATTTTTGTTTATTTATAATTNTTTTTTTTAATTACAGTAACTAAGGGTCGTTCTTTACAGCTTTTTTCGATCGTGAATTAAAAAAATTGTTTTTTTACTTATTTATTTATTAGGAACCATCAGAATAATGTTTCGAGCAAATATTTTTATCCCTGCAATAATATTGATTTATCCCGGGAATATTGAATTTTAGTCCGATAAATGATCGGGTCTTTTTCCCCCTTTCATTCACAGTTGCTTGCGTTAGGAATGATTTTTGTTTATTTATTATTATTTTTTTTTCTTTTTTTTCAAACGTTATGGCACATAAAACTTTAATTTATTTCTAAATAATTTGATACGAGCTTCAAACTTTTCCGTGTACGGGGAATCCAATGCTATGAAACGCACATTTTTAGTAACAAAATTTATTTTGCCCATAAAACGAAATTACAAGTGCACTTTATCCGGTCATGGTCAGGAGAAAATAGTTGCTGAATTTGATTACGCAAACAACTCTGGGCTTTTAATATTCCCTATGATTCAACGTTTAAAATAATATCAATTACCTTTCACTGTTACATGCATATACATATATATGTGATCTCTTGTGCACACACGAGTGCACATTAACTAAATTCGTTTTGCCGAAAGAGCTCTACTGTCAGGTGTAATTGGATGGATTTACCAAGGTAAAGTGTAATGGCTACAGTTTTCGAATTTCCAGTTTAAGTATTAATTTTGTGTAGAGAACTGTACCTTTGATGTTTTCGATGATTAAAAATATTTAAAAATGATTTAAACTAATTTTGTTTTTTGTTGTATCGTTAAAAAAAAATTTTTTTCCAGAAAATCTCATAAATTAATCAAAATTTTTAATCTGTAGGATGAATATAATATTGAGTTATAAAATTACATGTTCAAACTATCACTTACTGCATACAAAAAAAAAAAAAAAAAAAAAAACCACTAATAAATAAATACTCCAAGAAAACAAAATGAGCCATCGATCTGGTACTCTGTGATAATGATTTTAAAATCACTGTACCAGACTTACACTAACAATTCAGTTTCATCCCACATTCCGGATAATAGCTGGTTGTGGAACTATGTCGTGTGTGTGTACTCTCGTTGTGCGAAAATTAGGTTGCCATGCATTTGCGCCGCTTGTCAAAACACAGGGGATGGTCTATATAGACCTTGCAGTCACGTACTAATTAACCATTTTCTCAAGTGCTTCATTATCCTCGAGTAAAATATGAAATCACTCTAGTATTTGAAATTTGTTCAAGAGATACGAATCCTTTAAAATTTATTGTACGCCCATGTCTTCCAAAAAATTATTTACTTTGATTTTTTTTTTTTTTTTTTTTTTTTATCGACATCTTTAAATTAAATCTAAGAGCTCATTTACTCGAAACGTTTCTTTGATATTTCCCAGCTTAAAAGTTACTCGAGTTGCTTTATACACGTATCCGGAACAAGAGTCATCTTTTTGCCACCAGTGTAAGAGGAAAATAAAGTTTGTAGTGATTACAAGTTTTGAAATTTTGTTGTTTTTTCCCCTTTCATCGCGATTCTCAAAAACACTTGATGAAAAAATGATACCTCAATCGCAAAATTGCTTCGTCCTCAAGGACACAACGGGAACATATTGACATTGTCAGCAAAATTGACTTGATTGGTATAATTACACCTGTCCATTCAATTAGGATGCTCACGCTAAAATGCACGCCAATAAAAATTGAACTACACAGGTATATCTCCTAGCAGTGAACTGTACTGCCAAATGTCAGTGGGATTTAATATTTATTTTTAAGTTGTAAAGAACCTAACGAGTTGTAAAGAAAAAAAAATTGATTTTACAAAATGTATGAATTCCAAAAAAAAAAAATATACTGAGAAAACAAAAAAATATTCCCTCTTGGATTACACGTCAAAGCTCGATCCCATATTCTGCATTTGTGCGATTAACGTGTGCACTTCGAGGTTCATCATTTATTCTGTGTATCATGCGAGGAGCTATATTCAGGGACTTTTGCTTAAAAGCGGCCTACTGCTTTGATCTTTCCTTTGCCATTGTTCGTTATCTTACTACACTGTAGAAATTATATTAAATATAGCTTTTGTACCTATTCCAATTTCAAAGGAAAGTTATTTCAGAATGATTTGTAATTGCAATAATTATCGATCAGTAGGTGAGTTTACAGTCAATTTGTCTCAATGTTTTTTTTTCACAATTTTTGTTATAATATTTTTGTAACAACGCGACTCAAACGAAACCAACAGCGTCATGGTTTTGGTGACGGCAACACTGCAAATTCCAGTGATTTATTTAAACCCACTTATTGAAGGCAAATAAAACCGTAACGATTCTCACACGTTTGCATCAGTGAATTTTTTAAATTTTTTTAACCCAGAGTAATTAATAATTTACGTAATTAAAGGCAGGTCGCAATAATCCGTTTTTCACGCATAATAAAAAATTACACGCATAAATGTGTTAAATTACTCGGGTGCAAACACGTAAAAAGTGTTGTGGCGATAGAGCCCACTGGGATTTGCAGCAAATTCTCTTTTCACCCGATCCATTTTTTGGCAACCACAGCATATAAGCCCTTTTTGAGAACGCATAAAAGAAAAACTTTTTTTTTTCTCTAAAGCTTCGAGGATTGGCTTAAAATTGTCCAAAAAATGTTTTCCTCAGTCACTGCGAGCCGTGTGGGTGTGTTACCCTAATTGCAAACAGTGCTCACCTGATAGAGCGAGTTGCCAGTGACGTAGCTGGATATGTAGTGCGAGCCGAAGTTCTTGATGAAGCGTATGACACTGGCCGTGTCGCCGATGGTGACGTTTTCGGCCTCCCTGGCGACGTCCTCGTCCAGATGCAGGTACTCGGAGCCGGGGCCGGTGTTGAGGCGCTTGACGTCCCTGAAGCGAGACACTCGCACGAGGACGTAGCAGTGGTCCCCCGTTACGAAGGACGCGCTGATGCCGAGGTGCTTGGCTATCATGGCGCGCGACCAGCTGCCGGTGAACGCGCGCCACGGCCTCTCCAGGTGCTCGAACGTGAAGTCACGGAAGTAGGCCTGTTTTTACGGGCGGCCAAGCGAAACGGGAAACATATATGTATGTCAGATTTTTTTTTTCTTTTTTTTTTTTTTTACGTTTTAGGCACTAACGTAGATGTTTTTTTTTTAATTACAGTAACTAAGGGTCGTTCTTTACAGCTTTTTTCGATCGTGAATTAAAAAAATTGTTTTTTTACTTATTTATTTATTAGGAACCATCAGAATAATGTTTCGAGCAAGAAATGTTTATAATTTTTTGTTATTAGATTACGAAAATTATTATTATTTTTTCAATTATCGAAAAATCGTTTCATATAACATAATCTTTTTAATTAACGTTTACGGACAAAATTTTAGATACGAAACTTGTTTCAAACATCGTACTTCTAGGAAATACATTGAAGTGAAATCGTATATTTTACATTATATTTTTTGCTGTGGTATCGACTACTCGTGCCTTACAAGTCTTTTGAATAAATTTAGCATTTTATTACGTATCTTGAAAAAAATGTTACCTTTATGGTTTTTAATTTAATTACAGTTAAATTTTCATCACTCAATGATCCTTTTTGGGTAATTTCCATGCCCGTGATTTTCAAAAGCTATTATCATTCGTGCCTTGAAGTTGCGAATTTTCAAAAAGCTAACGAGTAAACTTCAGCTTTCGAGTGTCACTCAGCTTCAGTAGGATTTAATTAAAATCCGACAATTTCATACTTGATAATAACAAAAGTAAGAATATAATATTAAATTTTTTAATTAGCAAAAAATGTGATTTACGAATAACGCAATGAACGCATTAAAATCATTTTGTTACAACATTTTATCTCTTAATGAATACCGTACAAAAGCTTATGAAAAATCACTTTATTTTAATACTTGAGAGGAATTAAATTAATTTTCGTAATAATTTCAACAGCCGCGTTTGAATGAACGTCAAGTGTATAGGTATACAAAATATTTAAAAAAATACAAGAAAACTGAAATTCATTAAATATCTCGTAATATTCTCGTGAAAGCATCCATGTCAAAAGCATTTATACATCGCATAATCTAAACAGCAAAACAGCCAATGAGCAAAGTTAAATTGCCATCTCGTTCGTATTAAATTCAAAGACGTCTACTTGGCCATGTTTTCCGATATTTCTCTCGTCGCTTGTGGTCGACGTTGTTTTATCGCCGTCAAACTTTGTGACGTTAATTATCCGCGTTTATCCCACTTACCATATATTTTAACAAGTCGTCTTTCAACGAGCACGCTTTTTATCCATAAATCAGCTTTTGAAGAATATTTCTTGAATTCATTCGAGTTTCAAAGAGCGCCGAACTCGGCTTTATTACTTTCATTTCATTCAAAGGCTTTTTTGCCGCATACACTTTTTTTTATTCATTTCATGCGTTTGTTGTCAAAAATCTTTCTCAATTTTTTAATGATATGCTCCCGTTTAAGTTCCAATCTTAAAAGGCTTTTGACTTATTTCACAGCAATATTTTTCAAAGCTCATACGTAAAATATTTCATAAAAGTTTTTTATATTAAAATTACTTGATCCATAATAAATATGTTGGAAAATCATATGTCAGATATTGTATTCATTAGTAAATGATTACAGCAAACAAGGTTTTGAAAAAAAAACTGCTTGATTTTTTAGAAAAATAAAAATTGTAAAATTTATAGTTTTGAAATTTAATTGCAACAATATGGATGTTGAAAATACTTTGAAAACCCGGAATGATTAAATTTACGTTCTTCGCAGCGGGTCTTAAAGACTCTTCATTAAGTATCTCTAAACTGATTGCAAACAGGTATTTCATCAATGACATGCTATACTTATATCGTCTTCTGTTTAATTAGAGCAGTAATAAGAACGAAATAGCGACGTCTAATAAGATTTTAAAGATAATATATTTTAAATTGTATTTGGTATCATGTAACATGTTGTGAGCCGTAAAGATAGTAGAAAAATATTTATACTACACGAAAACTGTTTGATAAAACATTTTCATGCATGAAAAACTACACGATATTTTTCTTTATTAATAAACAAAATAAAATAAAATCTTCAGAGGGTATTTAGAATTATACCATGAGATAACGATCAACTCCCAAAAAGTGGAGAAAAAAATCTTAAAGCTTGCATCCCTTGTGGATCATAATATATTATACGTCTGTATCTGCTACAAAGAATTTTCTTAATTTTTCGAAATAACGAGAACTGCGTGATTTCGTAAATTCGACCGAGGTTTTTGTACTTTCGTTCATTTAAAAGACAAAAAAAGTCTAGCTAAAATGAAGTTGCACTTCATTGTTTACTCAAACCTTACCGACTCTTCAAGTCTCACACAGTTTTGAAGAAAACGCGATTGTGAGATTGTTTTCAACAGAAGCAAAAAAAAAGGAGAAAAATCATGTACCTACTTATCACCAGCTCACCTGCAAAAGTTGCCGCACGTTATCGCAGAACTCCAGGTGATAGTCCCCGTCGAAGAGAACATCGTCGCGTCTCGCCTTGGGCGGCGCTGGGGCGACGTTACGAAACACGTCGAGCGACGGCTCGCGAAATATCCAGGTGTCGCTGTCGTTGCGCGGCACCACCCTCATGCTGACGGCCAGGTAGCCGTAGCGGCTGAAGACGTTGACGGAACCCCCGAGTTTCGGCCTTTGCTGCAGCGTCAGCTGGAGCCTCAGTAACAGCAGCACCAGCAGCACCAGTGGCCTCCTTCCTGTCCACATGACGCTGTCTGGGCCCTTTTCGAGCGCTTGTCCTACCAGCGCGTCTTCTGTCCTTGTGCTCCTTTGAGTGGACAGACTTTTTTTCTCTTCTACGTCTCTGAAAAAAAGAGGAGAATTTGCTAGTTAGATGAAACTGTCGAAGCAGATGCAAGGTGTGTCTCTATATTTTTATACTACTGATACTTTTCAATGATATAATAATAGTTTCAAACAATATTTCAAACTCAATCTAAAGTAGGTTGTTGTGTCTTTTTTTAAGCTAAATACTACACAATCACTTTCATCAGAGCATTTAATACTTCTTAACCTAAATTTGCTCAACTCTAATCATTGTTATTTGGAGAACACTTTCATATTGTCGACAAAATGTTTGGTACACGAAATCGAATGGAAACCCTAGAAGTTTAAATATTTAAAAATTTACCGCTTGAAGCAAACCACGTGGTATCAGTCGAAACCAATCAAATCACGAAAAAAGATGCTTTATCCAGTGATCCATGCATCTCTTGGAAACGAAAGTAACAATTGGTGAGAGAAACGGTTGTCAACATACTTGTTTTTTTACGAAAAAGAACTTCTTAGTTGTGAGATGTTACAAACGAAGTATTAAAAATAATAAATAAATAAGTAAAAATAAATAACTGGTTACGACTGTTTATTATTATCATTATTTTTTTTAACCAAAAGATTATTCGAACGAAGATAAAAATATTGCACTTTGGAGTTTGACGAAAGTGCACAAATATTTAGTTAAAACTTTATAAGTTATACGCCCGTTGCTCATCCAGTGCTCGCGCGTCAACAGTTGCTTAAGAAAATAATTATAATAATAATAATTTAAGGTAAGGGGGGGGGGCATCATTCGAGCAGCAAAGTTTCTTCACTTGCATCATTCACTTAGTCGACGAATTAATTAAATACACAAATGTAAACGACCTACCCCACAGTCACGACGAGCAGTTGTAACTTAACGAGATACGCACTAGTTTATTGTTTCATTCCATTGCACCGAAGGTTATGACGAACGAGAAAATGAACGAAGAGGAAGAGCAACTGCGTCGAAATCGTTGTACGAATTCGACGGAAAATGAACTTTTTAATTGTCAAAGTTTCGCCATTGTTCTCCGTATGCCGTGAATCCGTACAATTGCCGAAGCAACTGTTCGTTCGTTGTTATAATATATAGTATTAGGCAAGCGCTTAGTGTTATAATGGCACCCTCGTGTGCTTCGAGATTATTTCGAAGTGTGATAAAAGTAATGGTACCTCCACACCATATAATATATAATCGCCTTTTACAAAGTTACGTTAAACTTTGTTTTTTTTTTTTTTTTTTCTTTTCTTCTTTATGCATGAGCCAATAAAGTAGGGGCCAATTTGGATCTTGAAATTTCGGGTGAGTGCCGAATCTACATACACAATGCTCAAGTAGAGCCAACGGCGTTGCGCTCGAGGGTCCGTGAAATTAGGAGCTTGCGATGCGTGCTAGTCTTGTCTGTATTGTATAGGGAGGGGGTGTGTGTTTTTTTCTGTGTTGTCTTTGGCACTTTTAGCTCGTGAATTCAATTTCGTTGCAAAATAAGGGAAAAAGACTCATCGAGAGAATTTTATTTTCGCCGAACGGACAAATAACATTTGCGGGCGCATAGGAGCAAAACATTTCCAAGTGCGTTCCGGGTGTGTGTGTATATATATATATATACATATATATATATATATATATATATGTATACCGGCTGTTCCGGATTTTCCAAACTTTTCGACTCCTCCCCCGCACTTGGTCTGGATGTTTGTCTCTGGCGACTCGGAAAAAGCTGCTAAAGATCAATGCGAACCTGACAAAAAAGTCGACGACTGCAGGGGGTGTTGTTGTGCATTGTGTAAGTAATGATTTGTGTTGAAACTAGTTTGGAAAATAGATTCAACAGATATCTTGTACTTCAAAATTTTTGTTTTGAGTTTGAAAAAGAAAAAATTACGTTTTGAGTATGTATCTTATTTTAAGAAAGACAAGGTCCTAATTTTTTTGTAAAACATTTGGTATTAGTAAAGTAAAGCCACGCACTAAAATAAAATATGAAAATAATTATTTTGTAAATACTTGTGGATGAAAATCGGAACACATTTATTTCAAAAGAAAATAAAAGATACTTGCAGCACTGCTGGAAAGGATTACTCGAATTCACGATGCTTTCATTACTTGGTAGTAAGTGATGATTAAAATATTACGAGAAAGTACATATTCATCAAAAAACAAAGTATTTATTTGTCAATGGTTGAGGCTGGAAAAAGGTAAAAATCAAACCAAATACTTATTCATTAAGTAATAATGACTCAACTTGATATTTTAACAAATATTCCTCAATGCTAACAAAAATTCCCAATATTCAGCGATGTGGTATGTATGCTTTTTTGGGTATTCTGACACGTAGATCTTCAATTCGATAAAAAGAGCGAAACAAAAAGAAAACCAAGCCAAAAAACAAAAAAAAAAAAAAAAAATTACGTAAAATAAAAAACCTCTAGAAATTACGCTCTTACGGCACGAGCTGCGACGTCTCTTGCTGCAAGCTCCAACAACAATCCCTACACCGCAATGAACCCCAATAAGACCCACCGATAAAGGGAAGACAGCGCGATACAAAAAAGGCACCCAGAGGCCATTATTGGCTCTCTCGTCGTCGCTCTCCAAAGAGACGAAAGGCTGCGACAAGAAGCTCGCGCATTATTATCCCGTGCAGTTTGCGGGAGTAGGTAAACGCACAACACGACCGTACACACAAACAGGAACACAGCGAGAGTAAACAGTCGGGCGGACGCCTTGGAGGTACAAGAGTAAGTACCTCATACGTGATGCAGTCGAACTCAGTGGCAAGCACAGATGTCGACTGCAATGTCACTCCGAGGAGCTTTTATACATACATGTGTATGTATAGACTCGGGTGAGGTGTACCTATATATGTTGAGGAGTGAGGCAAGATGTACTTTACTCTCGAGCAGTCCTGCAAGCTTCTCTTTGTGCACACGCGTGTGGGTGCATTTGTCCCTTTCATTACACATGCAGATGTACCGTATATGTACTCAGGTGCGTGGCTTACACGGCCAATTTATTGTGTGCACGTGCGTGTGTACGCGTGCGGGGGTGTAAGCGTTTACCCTACTCGCAGTACAGGTGCTATATATACATACGCGCCTTGTTTACCCCCCTGCCATAGTGATTTCTGTATGAATATATATTATACATGCTTCTGGTAATGCCAAAAATGCTCATTTGATCCATGCTGGTGGAGTCCTTGAAGAACCAAAAATATACCCATTCGTGTATACGTGTTGGGTTTATCACTTTTCATCACGAAAAAATTGTATTGTGTGAAAATACGTCGATGTGGCCTTCATAATCATGGTTGTTCGAATTAGTCTTGAAGTTGTAAAAAAAAATGAAAATTCGTTTTGAGCCCAGAATAAATGGCATAAGACAACATTCGAGTTAAAGAGGCATCAATCATCGATTCGATGACAAATCAACTCGATTTTCCTTTGTGCGGTGTACTTACACGTCAATTTGGATGGATAAACAAACGTGGCGCAATCACAAGCGAGCGCACGCGACTGGAACCACATGAATTTTTGTGTCAGTGCCACTTGGCTTTTCGATCCGGAAGAGAAGGTTACACGACTCGCCGAGTCTCTCAAGAGTTCACGTGTATCTGTAGGTATGTATGGCTGCTCCCTTGTATTTGTCCTACCTTAAATAACCCGAAAATGCTTGCTTATCGGCCGCGATTGCGAGCCAAGTGGTGTGCAAGTGTATACATCCATATACTGCAAGGTTTGTGGGTGCCAGAAAATAATACGTGGATAAAAAGTGTATTTAGGTTTCGAGGTAAAATAAAATTGTAGGAGAATCACAGGAAAATTATGTCGTTCCGTTTTATTGTGTGTTTCAATGCCAAATTATTTTGGAAATGGTCCGGTTTCATTTTTACATTTTTATAAAACCATACGAATAACTGTACAAGTAATCACAACAAGCAATAGTTTAAATATTATTTGTGGTTTTGAAAAATTAGTCAACCAGTCATGATTTAATTTTTTTCGTTGGATAATAAATTAGAAGTAAAAATGAATGTATGTAAAAATAAAAAATAAAAACATTGAATAAAACGATTTCACTGGAAAAGGCGCTGATGCGAGATTCCGTCGCTCTGGAGAGGCCGTCAATGTTCTTTTGTGAGCCTCAACCATGAGACAAATAAATATAATATATGTAAGACAGCTGTGCGAGCCATATGTGTACAATAACAATAAGTAAGTCCGCGACCAATGAAAACAATCGAGCCACGCGATTTTTAAGAAACCTTGCCTTATTCTCGGAAGAACGGATGGATAAATAAATAAATTTACATGAAAGAAAAAAAGCACACGTGTTTCGAGGCTCCTTACCTTATGCCACTTTTTCAAAGTGTTCCATATGTTCTAAATTGTGCTAATTTACCCATAAATTTTCATATAAAAGCATTGTTTTTTTTTCATGCATGAAAAATACAAGAAATCCTATAGTCCCAAACTACTATACCTACATTAAATGCACACTTTTCTTTCCCTCTCATCCGAGTATATAATATAGGCACGACTTTTTGTCCTTCTCCCGTTTGCGCGTTTCAAAAGTTTATGGATGCAGCACAACTTTACACGTGGCACATGTGCTCCCGCAACCTGCAGTGGGCTTGATACAATAATTATGTACATTTTGCATGTGCGGGAGTCGTGCAAACTACGCGAAATAGAGAGTAAAGTTCTAATTTAGTGGAAACAAAGCGGGGAAATAAATTATGATTCGTACGCTTGCTGCATACGTGTCTGCATGTGACAGAATATCCGATGATCGATGTAGAATAACCGAGTGTCCGCAACTAGTTAGCGGAAAATTTTGTATTATTCGTGCGTTTCCACAGAATATTATTAATATTTGAGTTAAGGCATCATGTATTACGGACAAGCACGAATTAATTTGTTTATAGATTACGGAAAAAAATATAATTTCATTTTTATTTGTGCTTACAATTATTTACCCTGATCAACAGTAAAATCATCAAC